TCCATTTGAGGTCATACAAAATATTTTATTTAAACAAAACTGTTCAAACTTAAAAGAATATGATCATTGACTTTAAATCTGCTCAGCTCATTTCAATTGTTTACCCAGGCACTGACAATTATAGGTTATTGATTTGCGATCTCTTGTGCAACAGTCATTTAAATGGTTCTGGTCCGTAATTCGATAGTTAAAAATGCTAGAAAAACACAATTGTATTTTCTTTTTGTGTCTTTGCCTAAGTTAAAAATAATTCTTACAAATATTTGGTAAATAAATTTTCAAAAGTAGTAAATGAAATGCGGAGATAACGAACAGTGATCAAGCTCACAATACAAATCAGAAGGAGAGCAAACACAGACCTCCGAAAGTATCAGAGGTGGGATCAGGTGCCATGGATGAGTAAGCATCCCCTGTCGACAGGTCACATCCTCCTTGTCATGATCAGAAAAACGGAAAAATCCGTAGACAATTTAGAGTGTAAATAATGGCCTAACAATTAGTATGAAAAACGCCAGTCAGCATTCGACTTAATGATAGATTATATTTGCTGACAGAGTCATTGTATCGACCATAGAACTTGCCAAATGTTGACTTCAAACGGTACTGTTGATATCCTTTTTTATCAAGTTGTTTGTCAATATCTTGCCTCGTTTAAGAAATTGTTCGTACGTATAATACGTCGTCGATATACATGCATCTAAATGTCGAGTTGAAGGTCACAGCAAGTGTCTTCTCATTTATAATTTTTTGAATAAATTCTGCTTCAAATGAATATAAAAATAGGTCTGCTGATAACAGGGCGCAATTAGTACCCATGGTAATTTCGACAGATTGTTGGAAGTCCTGATCTCCAAAAACTACATAGATATTGTCAATCAGAAACTCAAGTATCTTTTTAATATCAACTTCAAAATATTTATGTGTATAATCAAAAGATTTGAGCAAAATAATTTTTCAAATAACCAGTGATTTATATGTTACACTCAAAGTTAATGCTGATAAGGCTATTGCCAGCTACCATAATTCAACTACGGTAATGATTTTTTACGTCAAAATATCAAAACTTATTTGAATTTGAGTCGCCCGCGTGGCGCAGTGGTTAGAGCGTCTGCGCTAGAGTCACGGAGTAAGGAGCTGATCCTTCCGTCGCGCGTTCGAATCCACTTCGGGACTTAGAGACCGGACCTTCGGATGAGACCGTATGAACCGAGGTCCCGTGTCGCAGTAGGTGTTGGCACGAAAAAGATTCCATACTGCTCAATGGCCTTGAGTGCTGAGTATAGGTATAAATTTGCAGCCCTCCGCCGGCAAGTGGTGGCTTCTCCATATGAGTGAAAATTCTCGAAAGGACGTTAAACAACAAACAAACAAACAAATAATTTGAATCTGCTGAACAGGAAATAATTGGTATAAACGCCAAAGAATGACCATGTGGTCCACTTGATTTCTTATGAACTGAAATTATTTCTTACATTAATTTTGTTTAATCAAAAACAATTATTATACATCTTTATTTTCAACAATAACAAAATTATTTATTATTTTTTTAATTTATCTTTTTTTCAAGAAAAGCCTTCCCTACTGGATGTAATATTTGTACCACAATTATTAATAAAAGAACTGAACATTTTATTGGCATAAAGGCAACACGTGACTGACTCACGACTAATAAGTGTCGGTTCAACATGAAACACCTCAAATGTGTTTTTACATGTTTGGAGTTGATCCCTTCAAACTGTAAAAGTAAGCCTCTTCGTAAAACTCCATAGTCACATCGTCAGTATATTGGAACACCGTTATTTTTTACTGGTACGTTTATCACAGAGAACATATAACTACAAGTGTAAAGCAATATGCTTTTCCATAACAAAAATGCACTATATGATGGCTGCTACGGATTTCTATTATATATATATATTTTTTAGGTTATCTCGAAATTTTTCCTTGATGTATGTTTGTTGTAAACACATTTCGGTGGATATAATAAAAACATGCCATTTATTTGTACATATTATATAAATGAAATCCAAAGGAGTGCAGATTTGATAGTCTTATTGCTTGAAAACTTGAGATCTGAATTTAGAATACTGATTCAGTATAGTATGTATCTCTAAATATATTAAGCTCAGATAATACAAGCAAAATGTATACTTTCCAGCGCAATAACCCAGACAAGTACTAGTAGTACAGACGGAATAAAAGCTATGTAATGCCCTGATTTTGGAGTTAGTCTTTCTTGCTCATTAATTATAGAAGGGTTTTAAATGACCTCCACCTTTGCTCCCTATTGAATAATCAAGCTTGCTTATAAATATCTATGAATAGCATATTTCATGCACTATCTAGTGATAAATTTTGTCAACATTTTCCTTGAAAACTTTTATAACATATCGATATACCAGCATGTGTTCCCAGCAACCTTATAATAGGTTTAAATCGTCAACCATAGAATTTACCTGATGTAAAATTAAATTGTCATATTTTGATGTCACAGAGTTACAAAAATACAAATACCTAAAAGATAGTCATGGCGATCTCTCTGTATACCAACAGCTTGTTGTTATTATACGATCCCACCCAGAGAAGATGATTTCTATCATCATAGCTCAGGCCCCATGGTTTTTCTATCCCTTGTCCTTCTGTAACGAAAATGGAGAGAAAATTACTTGTGTACTGTGCTTGCATCATAATCACAAACCACAATGTTTGACATCGCATATGTACTGATTCCGAATGGATTTATTTGTACAAGTACACTAGACATAAAGTAGACCGATTTGGACGATGCTGAAGGAGATGGCCCAGATGGTAGTCATGAGTACATGAAAAAGGAATTCCCCTTTACGGTTCGTTACCAACAACACGCCAAAAACTCTTCCAGACATGAACAGAGACAACAGCATCATTACGATGCTATGTAATCCACATAGGAGGATCCTCGTAAAATTCTTCCCCTGTAACATCATCAAGAATCATGTTCACACTTATGAAGAAAGTCACCTGATGTATATACTGTATCAAGAAATTATTGACATTATCACCAACCCATACCCGGTTTGGCGTCACATGGGATATGTGATAAGTATAGAACCACAGGTACTTGTGGACAGGAATTAAACCCCCCCCCCCCCCGATATTCAGTACTTGTTGGACATTTTTTTTCACAAATTATATTTATTACACTTCTAAATCATGTGTACCATAGGAAAAAAATCGTGAAAACCCCAAAATAATCGTTCCACACAAAAATACCCCACCATACATTATATGAGAGAAAGGTATGCCACTCCGGTTTGTTTACGTTGTACCCCCACTGGTCTTTCTGGGTTTAAAAACATGTATTTATTTTATTTTAACCTAAAATGTCGGTTCACACTGTCTCTACATATATTTCTGTCTTAGTTCATGCTATCGAATTGACTCTGCATCTTGTAAGAATCCCAAAATTGCTCTTTAAACAGCATTGCAGTCAGTGCGTTGAAAAATCCTTAGGTATTAAAACGCAACGGAAGTGCACCAAGAATGTTTCACAACAAATCCAACAAATGTCCAACAAGCCCTGGGGTTGAATATCCGGTCCTGTCCACAAGTACCTGTGAAGTAGAAGGAGGACCTTAAAGTGTGATATACCCGTGAAAACCCACTTTAAACTATACCCTGGGGGAAGAGTGGCTATATTGTGACTCTTCCCCCCTGACTTAGAATAATGAGGCTTCCACTCTTTGCTTGGATTTTATTCATATGTTGATCTTTGTATTAAGAACCCTTTTCTTTAAATGTCAAAATTTGTAAATTTCTTCACCTACAACGATTGTCCCAAAAAAGGCATCATAATGCATAATGAAATGAAACTCGCATATATCACATCTTTAAATGGTAAATAGGGGGTAAATTCTACATGACACGATTTAATAACCTTCTTTCCAGCTGTACTAAATTAAATTCTGTTGGAAAGCTAACAATTATATTAATTTTTCATATGATTTTATTATATTACCTTTTTAAGGTATATTGTATTTAAAGTTATTATTTTCGCTTAATTGTTGTTCCCTTTCTAGGGCTATTCCTGGAGATGGACATTTCTTAATCTTGAAGGAATGATAGTACAGAGCAAGTTGTATTCTTACACACAAGATCTAAAATGACTTCGGAAACTGTGGTGGAAGGAGGAAGCGGGGAAATATCTATATAGTGAGTAAATTCATGACATACATGTAACGATAAACCTTATCGGGTGTACCAACTTTTACATAATTGAAACGGATAAATTTTTTATTATGCTTTATTCCGTCTGTCCTACTGGAGGTTGTCTGGATTATTTAGCTTGAACGTAGGACTTGTATTATACCTGGTATACATTTGCAATTACGTGCAGTAACCGTATATCCCTTTGAAGCCCAAGGCTAAATGCGTATCATGTTCAAGTTATAAACTACAGGGCTGCGGCGTTTATGCAAATTATCACGCAAGCCAATCGATTGATCACATCATGAAACCAAAAAATTAGACAGTTATTCCTTAACTACATTCCCTTGGTTTTATTTACATAATTTGTTTTATATCTTATATGAATGGCATGTTTTTTTTTAATTTCCTAAGAAATAATGTGTTGCTTAGATAAAGGTTTATCAAGGAGGGAATTAAATGAACTTTAAGATTTCAATGAAAAGTAAAGAAAAATGACAAATAATATTTGGAGATACATGTAACGAAGGTGCCTTGTATACATTCCACAATTTAAAGGATAAATGAATTTGATGTTTATTGTTTTGGTCTTAAAGAAAAAGAGTACAGAATTCGTGAACCATATGTCACGTATAGAATGGCCTTAACCCATTCATCATTTAGACATGGCTAAATGACTTTCGGTCGATTCTATGACAGCAGCTATTCAACTTTTATATGCCTAGCAAAATAAATTCAAGGTATAAATGAAAATTTTAGAGTGAGATGCATCCGAGCGTGCAAAAATTACGAATCCTTCCACAACTGGATTATGTTTTATATGAACTATCCAACCGCCTTGTTGTGAAAGTTCATTCTTACCGTACGTTTATGAACACGTGTCGGATACCATTTCAAACATTAGTTTATAATTATATTAGAATCACTTATGGCTCACTCAGAGATATCAGGACTAAGTGATGATGACCATGGGTCACTGGACGAGGAGTACATGTAAGTGTTTTCTCTCAAATATTAGCGTGAAAATTCATCTTTCTGTAATAATTTTTTAACCCGTAGTATAATAAGTAATATATAAACAAGCATTCTGAGAGTATTGCATTAGCAATACTAGTCCCCTACCGGCATGTGTAATCTGGTTCCCATTTAAAATTGAAAATACCATAATTCCGTCAAATATCAATGAAGCGAAATGCAAACTTGATCTGTATCTCATCAAGGTAAAGCCACATACCAAAAATCAGCTCAATATCGGCAAGCGTTTAGAAAAAAATTGCGGAAAACCCTGAAAAATTGAACAGGTCTTAATTTCGTCAAAATCATTGAAGCGGAACGAAATGCAAACTTGATCTGTAACTCAAGATACACTCACATACCAAAAATCAGCTCAATATCTGCAAGCGTTTAGAAAAAAATTATGGAAAATCAAGTGGGACAGATTGACAGACAGACAGAGGAACAGACGGACAGACAGACAGACAGACGGACGGACAGACTCAGAGGAAACCTATAGTCCCCTCCGGTTTCACCGGTAGGGGACTAATAACGAGATGTTGTTGAATAGTTTAGAGAAAACATTGCCTTCGAGGGCCGGAGGCCCGAGAAGGGGATGTTTTCTCTAAACTATATTCAACATTATCGAGTTATTTATCTTACTCAAAAAGAATTCCCCACTTTGGATCCCAAAGAAACTTTTACGCATTCATATACTGAAACGCAAAAGAAACGCAACATCCTTATTTTAAGGGGAAAATTATATACAGGTTATAACGTTGTACATAAAAAGTTAAGATATATTCAACTTTGCCAATTCAGCAATTTAACAGTTGAATGATTTTCATTCCATTACCGGAAGTTGATATTGAGCCCTTTTAACAGAAATCAAAAATTGCATGTTTAATAAAACATTTGACAATAATTTGGGTTTTCTAGGGTATGTAGCTGTTAATCAAAAATATTGCACTAATATCCCCCCCCCCAAAAAAAATCATTCTTTCTTTCCCCGATGTGATGCCAATATTTCCTCAAAATGACTGAAAGCAAGCATTCTCATTGCTCTTGATGGAAATTCTCCGACCATTCAATTTCAGCTTGCTATTCCGCCATGAACAACAAGTGCCTGTTTTTCAGATGCTGAGGTCGAATTTTCTCTAACCTGGCGTAGTGTAGTAACCCTTGGACTTCCGATCAAAGAACTGTCATTCACGCTTATAAAACGCATGAGCCTGATGAGTCGTTAATAAGTGCATATTTGCATCTGCAACTCTCCTTTACCTTTATTTTGATAATTTCCATCAAGAACAATGAAAATGCCTGCTTTCAGTCATTTTAAGGAACTATTGGCATCACATCGGGAAAAGAAATAAGGATTTTTTTCCCGCAATATTAGTGCAATACTTATGATTAACATCTACAAACCCTTGAAAACCCAAATCATTATCAAATATTTTATTAAACATGCAATTTTTGCTTCCTGTAAGAAGGGCTCAAAATCAACTTCCGGTAATGGAATAAAAATCATTCAACCGTTAAATTGCTGATTTGGCAAAGTTTAAGATGTCCTAACTTTTTAAGTACAAAGTTAAAACCTTATATAATTTTTCCCCTAAAATTAGGATGTTGCGTTTCTTTTGCGTTTCAGTATATATCCAACTTTGCTGTAATACAATGGGATGTAGCCCATTTAGATATCCAATAGCGACGCAATACAATAGCCTAATCGAACACCCCTTTTATTCATGGACTAGTTAGCATGAAACTGCATGGTGCTAATGTCATTTCAAATCTTTCCATTGTTCTGAACAGTCATGAAATCAGACGAAAAATAGTTTTAAATCCAAAGTAAATTTAGGTAGGTTCAGATAGTTTTTTAAATACTTTTGACCTGAAAGCAGATGAAAACTACAAAATTTTGATAAATGGTTGGAAATCTATCATTACATATAGGATGATGATTTGTTGAGGAAAAGTGTTTAAATCTTATGGAGTTCCCTTCGGACAATACTTCTAGTAGTGTTAAAACAGATGAAAAGATTGTCGGTGTTATGCGGAACCTGCTTTAAAACTATTCCATATCAAGATCTGCAATAAAAAAAGTGACAAAAAATAGATAGGCTGTCAATTTATTCAATTGTTTTGGGAAGTAAGCTGGAAAATTAAAAGAACGGAAATCTGAGAGAATTTTCTGATAACGGACCCCTGAAGTAATATTCAGCAACAAAAAGTGATGTTGTTCAAGGTGAAAATGTATAATTTATAAGCGTGTCAAAAAGTGATGCTTTTAGAATTTAAGACCGAAAACATTCTGTTAATATACCATCAGATAAGTATTGGATATTTTATTGACGACAAGAGTCTGATAGTGTGCAAAATGAGGAATTTTATTTTTGTGAGCATTGGAAGTACATTTTTCTTCGATTCTAATGGTGTGAAAATGCGAAGTGATTAAAATTCCGTGTGCATTGGACATTAATTCTAATGGTGTTACAAATTCGGAGTAATTTTTTTTTTATGTGCATTGGAAAAACATTTTAAACTCTTTTATGCCTTTTGTTCATTGAATAATTATGTCTGTATACACAGCTGGATATTTAAATGTCCAACCGATAGGCAGTTGGATATTTGAATATCTAAATGATGGCCAATTGGATCTTTAAATATCCAACTAGTGATGGTTGAATCGGTAAAATATACGTAGACTAATAACAATGGGTGACGTCATTGAAGTTTTTTAAAACTAGACATCTAACTCCGAATTACATGGAGTCCCCCTCCCCAGAATGACAGTCGTTTTCACTTTCAGAAAAAATGCACTGGCAAGCTGTTTATTTCTATTGTCTTCTACGATAATTTAGTATAGAGTATAAATAAACAATATTTTTCATATGGAGGTCCGTATTTGCTCTGCTCCATATTTGTATTGTCTAAATGGACTTTGAGCTTGAATACTGTTCGCTATCTCCATATTTCATGCTACAAAGGCAACTGTAATAAATATATTAACTCTATATATGAAAACACAATGAAAATTATTCCTTCTTTCATCATAATTTCATAACTGAATCGTTTCTTTCCTTATTAATTTTTTTTTATTTTTATAAAACAACAATACAAGTTCAGCTACAAAGTACACGAATAAAACGAATTAAGCCGTAAAAAGTTGAAAAAGCCAAGATTTCAGTTGGAAAAGCCATGATTAAAGTTAAATAAAGCCAATATTAAAATTGGAAGTACCAACTTTAAAGTTGGAAAAGCCAAGATTAGAGTTGGAATTACCAACTTTAAAAAAAAATACGTGGCACTAATACGTTTCTGTACCACATAGCCTGAACTTCAACACATTCAATCTAATCATAAGATCTAGGGTTTGACGTAGTGACTATCCTAAACCATACGTCACTTTTTGAAATTTATTCATCTTCGAATTAAGTTTCCTGCAAAGTATGTAAGCATAGAATCACCAAACCTTGCTAGTTAATGCGTCTTTCAACCCTCGGGATTAGACCATACACTGATTTGGAATTTTATAATCACATGTACATGTAATAATCTTAAACTTTAAGTTGTGATAGATGTATGTCATAACTGTATTTTTAACTTGCTATCTAAATCTTGAACCTATGATGACAAAGATCAATAAAATCATTTGATCCTTCTTCTGTGTTGTGAGTGATAATCGAAACACAGATCAGAAAACCATAGTTTTAAATCTTGCACATAATCATTGTTATTTAAAAGATTAATTTCCCACATAAACTATAGGGCCTTGTTCGTTGATTTCTTAGATGTCAGGCGGTGACAACTAATTATTGGTCACATAATTTTGGAAATTTAAGGGTAAGCATTTTCAAATAATGTTTAGATGTTACCCTGACTTACTTTTCTATATACACATGTATATTCTGTGCACTTTAAAGTAGTTCACAGTAACCTGCTTCGGAATTTTTACGTCACCCGAGTCACTCAGGTGACCTATTGCTTATTGCAATTACGTTTTCGTCGTGCGTGAACATTTGAACATTTTCAGCTTTCTCTGGTACCACTAAACCAACTTCAACCGATTTTGGCATGTATGAGTAAAATGAAAGAAAAATTGTGAATTTTATGGTCCTCGCACGTCTTGGGCCTGAGGGTCGAGGCTAAAACCGTCAAATTAATGCAATCTTTTATAATCTTCTTTTTACTCCTGGACATCAAGCAGTCAACCTGATGGCATGACTGTAATGAGCATTGAGCCCTGTACTAAAGATTGCGAAATTCATGGCCGGAGGTTCTGGAGCAAGGATGGGGCTCTATTGATCATATAGAGAAAATGCATAAATTCTTCTATCAGAGAACGCTACCAAATTGAGATGAATAATTGAAATAAATTAGATATTGGCTAACCTGATTTTTTACTTATTTTATTCTTTTTGAGGAACATTTATTTAATTATTTTTATTTTAAATTTGTCTTATTTTCACATATGAGAAGAAGTCATAAACAGATACAAAATTGAACACAAAAAAACCTGTTAAATAACAGATCGATAAAAACACATTTTTACTGACTTCTCACTACTAAAACTGTTTATAGATGAAAACTTCATAAAAATCTAAGAAGATTCTAGTTTGTTCGAAAATCTTATTTATATACATATTTATAATCTTAACTCTATCATAAAACTGAAGTTCCTTATTAAAAATTTCATTTACATGTATTTTTAGAAAATTTAAGACTTTGATTGTTTAAAAATATGAACTAAATTCAATACAATATACTCCGTATTATTCATTTAAAGAGTGAGAGAGGTGATATATTCCTGCGCTGCTGTTTCGCTAAAAAATAGTTTAAACTCTGTTTACTATATCTTTGTAAATTTTCCAGACTTTTGGAAATACACTCGTACTTCCAGTATTTTATTTAGTCAGAAACCAGACAAGAATCCTTCATAACAAGCCGATCTTGCTGTTAATTTTAAATGACAAATTTTGACTTCGTGAACCTGGGACCCGATGTCGAACCAGAAAAGCAAACTTGATACCTTTATGTTCTTGTACATTATCAAAACCTATAATCTTCAATGTTTAATCTTTGAAATCTTTTAATTATAGATACGGTCGATGGGGAAGGTATCAGGTATTTCAAGTAGCCATAGTGTGTTTCCATCTATTGCAAACAGGATTCCAACTTTTGATGGGAGTTTTCATCGGTACGAATACAAAATATATACCTTCTATGTACAAATTTGAGATTTCCTCATTAAAATTAGTTTAATTGATGTGTTTAAAGTTTAATTAATATGTTTTCATCGAATATTTAAAATAAGGCATCACAGCTTTATAGTGAAACCAAATATGCATTATGTCAATAACGGTAAATGAGTAATGTATATCTGTTTTGTGTATTTTTGTGACCACACACTGAACAAACTCCTGTTTTTGTGATATGTCACTAAATCCAAGTGTGAAGATTGAAAGTATACCTTTCATAGGGGCTTGTCTTCCGTATTGTTAAATGTAAAATAAATTAATAAAATTTTGAATCTACTTCGAATACACTTTAAAGTTGTTTCAATAGATATTTTGACACTTTCAGGCAAGAAATGCCAACAGCAACTGTTAAAAAATGTTCACCCTATAAACATAAACTCTATGAAACAGTGTTTTTTTTTTAAATTAAAAAACGTGGCATTTCTTGCGTGAAAGTGTCAAAATATTTATTGAAACAACTTTTTAAGAGGGCTGGGTGGTCGTGGCCATTTTTAGACTATATTGATCTCCTTTAGAAGAAGAGCTCCATATAAAGATATACAAAATTGATCTAATTTTAAAACTAAAATCTATGAATTTTTTCTTTGCCAAATGATAGTTGACAGCTTAAGATATCATATCTAAAAAAAATAAGTTATATCTGATGGTTAATTTGTTTACCACCCAGCCTCCTTAAATGTATTTAGACTCAAATTTTTATTAATTTGTTTTACATTTAACAATCCGGAAGACAAGCCCTATGGTTACTTTAATATAGCGTACAGACCCCCTGGCTCTCGGTGTGCAGTTGTAGAGTTTGACAACCTGACTCAAATGAACTCTTCTCTGTATGTAACATACGAATCATGTAACATCAAAGTGTTTTACAACGATACCACTGCTCAGAAATTGATTAAGGAAACCGGATGCCTCAACGGCTTCTGGTACACTTTAGACAAAGACAGCACCATTGTAACAGAGGTATAAATTGCACATATTGACATGATGTATCAGCAGTTTCCTGTGCAATGTAAATAGTAGTAGCGAAACTAATTTTTTATAGTAATATATGTCGTAATTTATCATATTTATAAAACATGATCGAAAGAATACATACAATCTCCGAACATAAAGATTGATTTTGGAAGAGTTGTGTCAATTTTCATCAAATCTCTTATTTACAAGATAGTTAAATGACTTTTTGAAAATTATTTGCAAAAAATATTTATTTTGATACTACATGCTATTTAATTGAAGTTTATAGAAGGTACTTAGTGTAGTCTTCACTGAAACTGCTTTGAATTTTACATTTAAAATTTTCCGAAAAGAAAATATCAGCGAATACTAGTAATTTTATTTTGTCTTTCTGGTTTGGTTGGTTTGTTGTGTTTGCCTTCTTTATTGTGAATACGTTTTTTTTAATGTTTGTCTATTTGGTTGCTTGCTTTCTCCTTACACTTGCAAGTTTATCAGGGCATGGAATGATCTTGTTTAATTATGGTGCAAACCAAAATGAAGACTTTGTCAATTACTTTGACAGATGGATCTTGTCTGTGATCGAGCATACTTAGCAGAAGTACTCCAATCACTGGTCTTTGTGGGACAGATGGTCGGTGCAGCATTCGCCTCCTCTCTCAGTGATAGATTTGGAAGAAAAACTGTTCACCTTTGCTCCACCCTTTTGACCTTTATCTTTGGCATTAGTGTGGCGTTTACTCAAAACTATATATCACTTGCGATCTTAAAATTCATTCTAGGCGTTTTGCAGCAGGTAATGCAATAGAGAAAGTAAATGCAAACCAATCTTAAATTTTTACATAATTTTAATAGCGTTTACAATATTTCTAATTAAGTATTTTTCACATATGCAATGACGTTACGCACGTTGCTAATACTGTAATATCATTCTTATGTGGCATAAAGAAACTGACGTTTTCAAGATGTGATATTTGCTACATGTATAAATTAAGAATGCAATTAATAGTAGTATCTGCAGTCGTAAATAAATCTAAGAGTTTTCCTTTTAATGACCTAAATATATTTTTTGTTATGATACGGCTTTATACATTATTGTCACGTAGATTACCGTTCATACAACAACAAAATATATGAAAAAATGCAGTTTCAATAGGCTAATTTAAGTAAAATTTGGGATACAGTAATATACGCCCATTCTTTGTGATATTGCTGAAATTTTGACGTCATTTTATCAATTTCGTGAGTTTTGGCTGAATCTCTTGTGCTTTTGTAAAATATCCAGTAGAAATAAATCGTTTCCTGACATTAACATTATTCCAAATGGTGGCTGCAGTAAATTTAGTTAACAAGTTCAATAATTTAATACGTAGTATTCGAGACACAGAAACGACCAGGAACATTGTAACATATTTATATCCACAGGGAATGGTTGTTACCGGTTCGGTGCTGTCGTTAGAGCTATTTCCAGAAAAGACTCGTTTCTATAGCGAGGGTCTGCAAGCCCTTTTCTGGACCTCGGGTTTGGTCATTATGGCCCCCATTGCCTTTCTGATGCAAAACTACTCGTGGAGATACTTACAAATTACACTTACTTCATTTTCTGCTCTTAGTCTTATTCAGTTCTGGTGAGAATTTCAGAGTAGTGTTCTTTTTTTTCAAAATCAAATTTTATTTATATTGTTATCTGTTTAAGCAAAAAGAAATTAAAAACATCCGAAACCAAAAACAAATTAATTTCATCATGGTTAAGATATTTAGCATTTATATAATATTTCAGTATTACAATCGTATTTTTAATAAGGGTACAAGATGAATCACTACGGTGGCTAGCAGTCAATGGTAAATATAGAGAAGCATACAGGGTAGTAAGAAAGGTGGCCAGATGGAATAAACTGAATTATGAGGATCTTAAAAACATCGTGGACAGAAGAATGGCGAGAGCTGAGAAGGACAAATGCATGATGGAGGATAAGAAACACTCAGAAAAATCTAAGGAAACTATCATCGTGGAAAAGCTAACCATAGTTAACATCATAAAGAACAAATCCATTTTCATTATATCAGTAATGATGTGGTTTACATGGCAAGTTTATATTAAAAAAAAAGAAGATAAACTCGACTTCCATCTACACAAGAGAAGATTTATAAATGTGTACGATTTTTTTTCAATTTAAACCCCTAGGGTAACCAATAGCCTGACATACTTTGGATTGACCTTGACCTCAACATCATTGGCTGGGAATCGGTTTTTGAATTTTTTCCTCTCAGTCTGTGTAGAATATATTGGGAGAATTCTGGAGTTTATAATGCTTCGATGGTAATTTCTGTCTTTTTGCATAAAACATTGTAAAAACCTTATGTGTTATTTAATAGCTTGTAATAAACATGGTATATACTACAAGATTAATGTCAATGGGCACAATTATAAAATATGAGTATTAAGATAGCTTATATTATTTGTAGCCTTGGAAGACGAACAATTACGTTAATTTTTCACACCATAACAGGGACAGCATTGGCTCTTTCCACTGCTTTGAACCACTTCTCAGGTAAATAAATGATTGCCAACTATTTGAATATATATATATACCTTGTGTTTTAATTTCTTATCCTCACAACGACAGAACACCCCCACAAATGGACTCGGACTCCTGACGTTTTGAGGATGTTGATTTATCTTTAATAATAATAAAAAAAATCTACTTTAGAAGGAAGCCAGCCAGCGATAATGACATCAGTTGTGACGTCATTTATAGGTAAACTGTCAATAACAGGTTCATTTAGCCTGCTGTTTCTCTTCACCGCAGAACTTTATCCAACAAACCTCAGGTATGTTGATGACATTTTTTTTCTTTTAAATCTTTGTGCAGTAATATTTTTTTTTCCATCTACGATCAACTGTTGTTTTACAACATATTTTTTATTTGTTTTAAGGAATGCTGGTTTAGGGATTTCCTCATCTTTCTCTAGAGTAGGCGCCATTGTGTCCCCCTTTGTCGGATTGCTGGTAAATATTTTTTCCTGCCTCAGATAATTCAGAGCTTTCATTTAGATTACTTAAGCTCTTATAAAGGAGCTAGTAACAGAATTTCTTTAAACTATCTATAATAAAAGTATCTGATACCATAAACTTCTTTCATTCAAATTTCTTTGCTGTTTTCTAGTTATCGAGTCAACATGCCCGATAGTTCGAAAAATAGCATTTTGATCATGTTTAGAATATCAAGACAACTTGCCCGAAAGTTTGAAAAATAGCATTTTTGATCATGTTCAGTGTACCATTATTCACGTTTGTAGCAATGCGGGAAAGCGATATAGTGACTGTTTCCTAAAGTCAAAAACTTAATGATGTAAATTAAACAATAAAATGCTTTCTTTGGTTTTTAGTACGGGAATTAATGTTGCAGCTGTTGCAGAAAAAATACATAACCCGCATGTATTTTTTTCTGCAACAGCTGCAACGCTAATTCAATGACAGTAACGCAAATTCCCGTACTAAGAAGAAAGAAAGACATTTTATCGTTTATATTTATATCTGTATAAATAATCATTTAAAGTAGGATTTATTACACGAAATATTGTATTACTGATATGTACATCGTTGTACTTTTCATTCATGGAAGAGCCACTGCTTAAGAAATCTGTGCAGGTGATATGCTTAGTGGTGTTTACTGACTGATATATGACAATAATTTTCTTAAAAAATAAAGTAGGTAATGTTTAGTGAATGTAAATATTGCTTGATAAAAATATTTGGAAAAAAACCAACTATTTCATACGTTACAATGGAAAGTATTGAAATGCAATATATTTACGAAAGCCTATAAGGATCAATCTATGGAGAAAAAAAATAAAAAGGCGGTATAACACATTTCGAAAAGGCGTAATAACGCGAGAAAAGACGTTATAGCGCCTTTTGAAAAGGCGGAATAACGCCAAAAAAAAAAGAGTGTAATAACGCGAAAAAAGCGTTATTACGCCTTTTCAAAAGTCGTTATTACGCCTGTCCAAAAGGCGTTATTACGCCTGTCCAAAGCCTTTCTAAAAGGCGTTATCACGAATCTTGAAAAAGGCATTATTATGCCTTTTGAATAGCCATTATTATGCCTTTGACAGGCCTGGGCTTTTGAAATGGGGGGACCTCCCAAACATTGACAAGCAAACAAGAAACAACAACCCCCCCCCCCCCAAAAAAAAATAAACTGCCTAAATTCGAGTGGGATCTTTTTCTAACTTTTCGGTAAAACTTTTTTTAAATGCAATAGTTTGCCAGAGTTTGACCATACTGAAACAAAATGTTCAGGGATCAAACAGCCAATAAATGAATTTTTATATTTAAACTATCATTAATAGCAAGACTATTCTTCCAAAAAGTGGGGTGGGGGAGGGGGGCCCACTCGCACTCGTACTACCGGACTGTGCGAAAAGGCGTTTTATTTAAAAAGGAAAGGCGTTATTTCATATTAATAAATATATGAAAAATTGAATCCAAGCCATCTTTATTCATGCAATATTTAGAAGTATTTTCTATATTCCTGCACATATTGCAGACAACTGATTCTATGCATATTCAGAGAAGTCAACACTCGTGAAAATTCAGGAAATAGGCAGATGCAGTTTGAGGCTTTGCTGGTCATGCATTAAAAATTCATTTCAAATTTGAAAATATTTTTCTCTCCTCTTGGAAAAAAAAGCAGGCCAACTATTTGCATGGGTATAAAGAGCAATTAGCCTTCAACCAAATTTGTGAAATCCATGACCCTTGGAAGAGGTGTCTGGCATCAGAGAAGGACTAAGTTGGTTTAACATTGAAAATATATTACGCATTTAAGAGGGCTGGGTGGTTGTGGCCATTTTCAGACTATATTGATCTCCTTCAGAAGAGCTCCATATAAAGATACACAAAAATAATCAAATCTATAATCTAAAATGTATAAAATTTTTGTTTGCCAAATGATAGTTGACAGCTTAAGATATCATATCTAAAAAATTAAGTTATATCTGATGGTTAATTTGTTGACCCCCAGCCTCCTTAAAAATCTGTTTTCCTGGAAATCTTATTACAATCTGTTTAAATTATTTTTTAAGAAATAAGCCCTATATTTAATTGTGAAATTCATGTCCCGAGGGTAAGATCCCCCCCCCCCGGGGGGGGGGGAGGGCTAAGTTAGTCATGTATTGAAAATTGAAAGGCGTAATAACGTCTTTTGAAAAGGCGTAATAAAGCTAGCTATGTTATTACGCCTTATCGAAAGGCGTTATAACGCCTTTTAAATGTTTTTTTCTTCATAGATTGATCCTAAAAGGCTTAAAAGGTGTATATTGATTAGTCATGTTTCACAAAATAAAAGCAACCATTAGTTTAAGTGCAGAACTGTAGCTCTCTGCTTGAGAAAATTCGGACAGGCAAAGGAGAGGGCTACAGATATAAGCGTTGTTAAATCCTTCGATTTACGCCGCCGCTTTTTTGTCGCTCGCTTCGGGTATTATTTCTTGTATTTAATGCTTTCCCCTGCTTTAAAAGTGGTATCCAATAATTATCCATATATTTTACCCTTTTTCGGACCCCATGTGTTTCATTTCTAAATGTTCTACTAAAAATTGAAAAAAAAAACGGGGCAAATTTGACTTGTAAAGCTTTAAACGCTGTCTATGGAATAAATAATTGGGGCCATCAACATCTTTATAAACATTTCAATTCGCCTGACCACTCTATCCTTTCGATGAGGATTAGCATTGTGGAAAAAATATACCATTCAACTAATAGTCCCACTTTAAGTACCCAAATTTCGTAGACAACGAGAAGAATACTGGATAATGCAACTCTCAAGCCCACAATGTGCCAGTGTGAATGTGATGAAATTTTTAACAATACATTTCAACTTTCCTTATTTATGTAAGATATATTCCACTATCACTTGCATATAGTGTTTATATCTCCCAACTTATTCGATACTTAAGAGCATGCTCTGAGTACGATTAATGTTTAAACCGATGCAGGCTACTGACAATTAAGTTGATGTTACAGAGAGTTCAACAATCTCGTTTAAAGTCAGCATTTCGTAAGTTCTATGATTGTTTTCATGACCATGTTAGCAAAATATAAACTATCATTAGGCTTTGGTTATAATCTAAATTTGACTACGGATTATTCCGTTTACCTGATCAATATATATATATATATATATATATATATATATATATATATATATATATATATATATATATATATATATATATATTAGGGATGTCAGCGAGTACCCGGTTAACCGGGTACTCTATCGAACGTCCGAGTATCGAATACTAAAAACGGTACTCGGTTACTCGGATGTGTATTTTTTCTTATTTCAAGGTACATATTTTTATCAAAAACTTATCAGAAAATAACTCGAATACATGTATGCATACGGGTAATTAGCGTGTCGTCATCTACCCATGTAAACACCCGTTATTGCCTATGGCTGTGTATATGAAGTAATTAGTGACCAATCACCTGGTACACAGCTGTCCTCACCTATTGTGTTCCTTAATATTTTTTATGGCTTCAATGATTGTTTTTCAGTGAACATCGATTAATATGGTCTATTATCTTCAAATCATTTTTTAAATTATTTAGTTAATATACGGCAGCGAAATCGGACATGCATAGAAATGCATGCCGCTACCCACTTCAAAATAAGTAAAGATTAAAAAAAAATGTTTAAAGTCAGTTTCCATAGTAAGTTGAAAAAATATTAGACTAGCGATCCAAACAACGTCCGTTCCTCCTCTTTCGCTAGTCTAATCACAAACGTGCGTAACAGATTGTCCTCCTTTTGCGTTGATCAAATATATATCTTAAACAAGAACTGTAAACCATTTGTAATTTTTGATGTATTTATTGCGTCATTTGTGTTTATTTAATAAATAAATTAAATACTAAAAATCATTTCCGTTGGACCACATGTTTATATACATTCATAAAACGTGACAAAACAGCTCTGGAGTTTATATACATTCATAAAACGTGACAAAACAGCTCTGGAGTTTAACAAATTAACGATTAAAAATTAACAAACTCGTATTTACATTTTTACCGAGTACCCGGGTACTCGATCGGAAAAACGTCCGAGTAACCATTTATCAAAAATTGACCGATCTGACATCCCTAATATATATATATATATATGTATGTATGTATATAGGGCTCAGGAGGGGTGTGATCTGTGGACAGGGGATGATCAATCATCCAAGGCACCTAATCCCACCTCAGGAATTTCCAGGGGTCTTTGTTCTATGATTTGTATTGTTTTGGGGGATTCTTTGAGATCAGTTTTGTTGTCTTCACATTTCTCTTTGAAGGCGTGGTCTAAATTTCCACATTGCAAAAAAAGTTTCATCTAAATCGGTGACTATGCGTGCGAAAAAATGCTCTAAATTACATTTTTTATCTAACAAACTTGCAAAGATGTGAGATTCTTTTGTTTTATTGAAAGACTTTAAAATACTTATTTAAAAATTCCATTTTTAAAAGTGCCCGTATGAGAAAGTAGAATATATCTCTTAATGCAATTTACTTGCATACTAAGTATGTTTTATTAAATTCGGACGAAAACAGTAGGAGGAGTAGTATTTTTGAAGAAATTTCAAACAAATTTCACATTAAGCAACAATGGCAATACCTTTTCATCGATATCTTTAAATTGATACTTGGAGTATCAAGTTTTGCATTTGAAAGAATGTTTCAGTCGAGCAGATAGATGCACATACACCTACGCTCTTCTGTTCTTTAACTAGTAAAGCTAAAATGCATTTCTAATTTTCATAAATTAGGTTTTAAACATTTTTCGTCAGAAATAAATACTTTTATAGATTCTAGTAATACATCAGAAAGCCTACGTATTTTTTGATAGACGTTTTGACTTTATAACCTTATTTATGAACCCACTTAAACCAGGTCAAAGTGCCGCCTACGTATATAATTTGCGGCAGTAAAATTCACGATTACAGCATTTCCCGAGGGCGCAAATGCTATAATTTTTATCAATATCATTTTCACAAAGTACATTGATGAGTTAAGATAGTTAATTTCATTTATCATTTGACTTTTTCTTTATTTTATAAATTTTACATGACATTTTATTTAACATTGAACACTGTCAAGTTGAAATTTATCAGCTATGCAGTAAAATGATCTATACAATATTTTTTAATATAGTTTTTGATAAAGAACAATTCAATTTAAGGGAACACAGACGGACAAAATTTAATTGGCGCATTCTCCAACTTCCAAGACAAAGGAACATTTCTAACGATTAAGAAAGACGTAAAAAAGATAAATCGAATAAACATTTCTTTTATATTTTTTATGAGTATTTTCGTCCTGGAGACCAAGTAAAAAATTAGTGATTTTGGAATTTTAAACAAATGTTCATGTCATATGTCATGTTTATTTTCACCAATAGGCAAGAGAAATACCTTGGGCACCAGGAACTATTTTTTCTTCTATGTGTTTCATTGTGGTAATACTTTCTGTGTACTTACCGGAAACACGAGGATGGGATCTACCTCAGACAATGGCGGAAGTAAAAGTGTGGTACAAGGAAAAAAGTGGATTCCGGTTGCAGAAAGGTCGGAGGAGGACTGAGATTCTGAAGGTGTTAGATATAAAATAGAAAATATGCTATTATACAGTATTATTGTACGTTCTGAGAAAAATAAAATATACAATTTACTTTTGAATTTTTTTTAATCAAAACTGGAAGAAAATTTTATTGGAAAAGCACAATAAGAGTTGGGGGATAAAGATGTTATACCAGTAGCTCTTTTTCACAAGAAAATCTACGATCTTTGTATTTTTAGGAACCGTCTCAAAATAAGTAATATATAGAGTACCTTTTAACGAGTGTATCTTCAGATATCAGACGAGGGGGCTTGTCCCCCGAGTCAGATATCTGAAAATGCACGAGTTAAAAGGTACTCTATATGTTTTGTATCATTGTTCTCATGCACTGAGTTACCCATGATATATCAATTTCACGTTAATGGCAAGTAATTCGACTATATTCTCATGCACTGAATTAGCCATGGTCTATCAAAATTCCAGTCGCCCGCGTGGCGCAGTGGTTACAGCGTCTGCTCTAGAGTCGCGAAGTAAGGAGTTGATCCTTACGTCGCGGGTTCGAATCCCACTGTGGGACGTGGAGACCTGTCCTATAAACCGAGGTCCCATGTCGCAGTAGGTGCTGGCACGAAAAAGATCCCTCACTGCTCAATGACCGTAAGTGCCGAGTATAGGACAAAATTTGCAGCTCTCCACCGGCAAGTGGTGGCGTCTCCATATGAGTGAAAAATTCTTGAGATCGATCTTAAACATGTAAAATACAAAAAAAAAAAATCAAAATTACATCATACCATTTAATTATATAACCAATGAAAAAAGAGCACGTGATTCGAAAAGTATAGTGCGCTGTATTTCTTAAACTTTCTACCTCGTCCATTCATATTTTGAACGCCATGGATGACGGTTGTGATTTTATGCTTTCGCGGAAACCGAAATTATGAAGGAAAATTCCTTAGATCAATTAGGAAACCAGATGCAGTTTGAAGATTCTATGGAAGTATGACGTTTGATCCACCGGAACTAAAAATTGAACCTATTATGGATTTCGAGATAGGAGCTATTTTAGAATTTCACCCCGAGGTCGACACGAAGGCGAAAAATGAAAGGTTTATACAAGTGTCCGATCATAAAATTCAGCGTTTGATAGACTAAAAAAAAATAATATACCAAATGGCAATTTAAACGTTCAGGTTAATCAAGAAGTAGCATGCATGTGCGGCACGGGAAAATGTCCACTTTTGACCGAGATGAACAGCGATTCTCTATTTAAATTACTGGATGCAACGATTTGTGTTGGAATTAGAAAACAAAGAATATCCACCTCGCTACCTGTACTACATTGTGTGTGGTTTGTTACGCTTCAAGTTTATGAGAGACGAAAACATAAAAATGTGCGTGTGTGAATTCCATTTTGAATTTAAAAATTGACGTGCGAAATTTAGAATGTTTTATGTAGACCTAAGGAAAGGTATACCTTCAGTATGTTTATATGTGTTTGTATTTTGCTTATAAAGTCAGCTACTTTGTTTGTATTCTTTTTCTTTATCAATGTAAGGTCAAGGGTCATTGGAATTGTTGCATTTAATTACCCTGTCGTGTTCTATCTTGATAGAGCATGGTTGTTAGAGCACAGTTAGTCATAGTGTATCAAAAATAAAAACACAGTGGAAATCAAAGGAAAAACGCCGCAGCAATGATACAAAAGAAAATTATTAATTGAAATTTCAAAACTGCTAAGCAACAGAGAAATCAAGCCCCACAAATAAATAATGTGAAGCAGAATGTTTGAAATATGACGTAGAATATCAAGTTTGACGTAAAAGTAGGTCAAAATAAAATCTTTGGAAAAACTGTCATAAACTATTATAATAAAAATTTTGCAGATTATTTTATTAAAATTTCCCACAAAACTAAAAATTATAAAATAGAAAGGTAGGGGTGTGAAAAAAGTTCAATTAAACAGTTATTTTAGTTTTTAGACCTATCTTATTACTCAGTATTTTACAGAATACATATTTCTAAAATACTTGAGAAAAGATAAGAGTTCTCGTACGTTAAGCTACTTCTTTGTAAACACGTAAGAATGTTCGGGAAAAGGAACGAAATATTAAGTTTTCTTATAAGATGAACATTAACCGTAAGATTTTCTTTTTTGGAAAAAGTGCTGCTGATGAGTAATTATAATCATAAGTTTGAAACATTGTCAATGACTATGAACACAGTCTAAAAACATGGATACTGACATAAAATGAACAAGATGTGTTTGTGAAACACTGATGTCCCCGTATGGCAGCTTATGGCGAAGGGTAAAGTTTCTCAAATGCAAGTCAAACTCCATGTCAAGAGATCAAAAATGTTGGTACCCAAAGAAAATTCTTGTCTAAAGGAATATACTTGTGAAATATAAAAGCCCTAGCACCAACTGTTGAAAAGTTATGGTGAAGGTTAAAGTTTTTTAAAAGTAAGTAAAACGTCAAAGTCAAGGTCAAATGGTGCCCAAGGGAAGGTCTTGTCACTAGTGATACACATGTTCATGAAATGTGATAGCCCTAGAACCAAACGTTCAAATGTTATGGCCAAGGTTAAAGTTTTTCCAAAGTAGGTCTAACTCCAAGGTCAAGGTCAAAGGGTCAAAGTTGTTGTTATCCAAAGGAAGATCTTGTCACAAGGAATGCACATGTGAATATGAAAACCCTAGCACTAACTGTTTTTCAAAATTAAAGTAGGTCAAACTCTAAGGTCAAAAGGTCAAAGATGTTGGTATCCAAGGGAAGGTCTTTTCAAACGGCATACACATGTGAAGTATTAAAGCCCTAGCTCTAACTGTTCAAAAGTTATGGCCAAGGTTAAAGAGGTCAAACTCCAAGGTCAAGGTTAAAGGGTCAAAGTTGTTGGTATCCAAAGAAAGGTCTTATCACAATAAATACACGTGTAAAGTTTGAAAGCCCAAGCACCAATTGTTCAAGGTTAAAGTCTCAAAAAAATTGGCAAAAGTGGGTCAAACTCCAAGGTCAAGGTCAAAAGGTCAAATATGATGTAGGTAGTTAAGAAAGGTCTTGTCACAAGGAATACACATGTGAAATATCAAAGCCATAGCTTTAAACAATCAAAAGTTATGGGCAAGTTAAAGTTTTTCAAAATTAAAATAGGTGAAAGTCCAAGGTCAAAAGGTCAAAGTTGTTGGTATCCAAAAAAAGGTCTTGTCACAAGGAATACACATGTGAAGTATGAAAGCAATAGCACCAACTGGTCAAAAGTTATGGCCAAGGTTAAATTTTTTTCAAAAGTAGGTCAAACTCCAAGGTCAAGGTCAATGGTGTTGGTATCTAAAGAAAGATCTTGTCACAAGAATTACACATGTGAAGTTTGAAAGCCCAAACACGAACTGTTCAAAAGTTATGGCCAAGGTTAACGTCTCATAAAATTTAGCAAAAGTGGGTCAAACTCCAAGGTCAAGGTCAAAAGTCAAATGTAATGGTACCCAAAGAAAGGTCTTGTCACAAGGAATACACATTTGAAATATGAAAGCCATAGCATCCAACCAATCAAAAGTTATGGGCAAGGTTAAAGTTTTTGCGGACAAACAGACAGACAGACGGACGGACAGGGCAAAAACTATATGCCCCCGAATCTTCGATTACGGGGGCATAAAAATCACCACACATATCAGGAGGAACTTGGAATAGAGAAAAACCATTCTTTAGAAACACAATTATATTTTATCCATATTTTATCCTTACCAGACTGAATTCCAAATGAATTATCTTCATGTACATTATAGTGATAAAAATGAGTAAATTGTCGGTCATTTTGTGATCTGTATGTAAAAAAAATCTAGGTAATAAAAACGTAGTTACCTCTCTGATTAGTTATATATTGTCTTCAGATTTTGTAATATGGTCCTTTGAACTGATAACCAGATGTAATCTAGGTGGAATTGATGAATATAAGTTTTGTTTGTACATCACGGGATTGATAGCTATATATGTAGCTTGCTGATACATTGCTTTCAGATATGGAACGCCAAATTAACAGGTTGAAATATTTGCACCGATCTTCAAATCTTGTATCTTTTATTCAATTATACCTATCTTTAAATCATTTGGCCGCGTCAAACTTTAAACATAAACATACTTAGTGACTGTTGCTTCGCCAAGCGCACATTAAAAGTTAAAATCATGGGTCGGATGAAACCTTAAAAACCGGGATCCCGTGTCACGGTAGGCGTTGGCACGATAAAGAACCCTCACTGTTCAATGATCCTGAGTGCCGAGTAAAGGTCCAAATTTGAAGCCCTTCACCGGTACAAGGTGACGTCTCGTGAGTGAAACATTCTCGCATGGGATGTAAAACAGCAAACAATCAATCATTTAATCGAATCAATTTGGAGACAGAAAACCTATATGCAGGTGACAATGGTATATTGGTACATAAGTAGTGGAAGCTGACAGTGGAAAAGTTGAAGTCATCACGTTTAACATAACGTTTACTTGTTAGTTTGCCCTCAATGTCTTTCTTTAGTACAATATCCAAATATGAAACAGGTGTGTCGCATGCAGACACTTTAGTGTATTTTATTTCAAGTCCAATGAGATGTATTGCAGCAATGTAATAATGAAAATGAATATTGCTAAGTGATAAAACTTCGTCGATGCATCCAGTAAATGTCGAATTGAAGGCTAAAGCTAGAGACTTCTTTTTTTGTAGAAGTGTTTGAATAACTCTGCTTCATATGAGTACAAAAACATCTGCTAAAAACGGGGCACAATTAGTACCTCTTGAAATTCAACAGATTATTGAAAGGCCTGGTCTCCACAAACAACATAGATATTGTCAATAAGAAACTTCAGCATCTTTTTGATATCAGCATCGGAGTACTTCTGTGTAGAATCAGAATGTTCTTTCAAACAAAATAAGTTTACAGGTGGACAATGATTTACTTTTTTTTTAAAATTGAAATAGCAGTTGTTTATGATGTCAAAAAGCCTGGTCAATGACAATGATCAGACAATTTTTCTCCGTGTGGATTGTAGAAAAATGACCCCGTACAATAATGTTTTTATGCAAAAAAAGGGTTTTGGTCGGAAAATTTTTGTTAAGCAAATACATAGGGGTTAAATCACGCAGCCTTATGATATGAAGTGTTCATTTCTAAAATCTTTAAAGTTTAAATAACAAAGTTTGTTAAAATCAATACCCTAGGGATAGGGAGGGGCCACATGATCCCTCTAATGATCACAGTGAAAAAGTTCTCTCTCCTCTGTTTATATAGCAGATAAGCAAAGGTATCTTTTCGAAAATTGTGAAATTGTTGGTCCCAGGTCAGAGGTTCTAAAGTAAGAGCGGGACTCTAATAATCATATATTGAAATAGTTGCAATATTGTAGCCTTCTCCGATATTTTTAATCTGATACTAGTATTTTCGGAAGAGAGCTACAATTACACGGGATGTCCGTAAGGGTGCAAATGTATTTTTAAGATACGGGCGACTGCAGGCAAAATAAATTGCTTTTGCATTCAACCTATTTCCAGTAAGACAGAAATTTAATTCACTGTCAACAGAGTAGCCCTTCATACGCGAAAATCAGGTAAAATAATCGGCGTGTTTACTATAGCCATTCTCCTCAGCAGCCATGACAATTCACGCGTGTCGTTATTGCACAGTACCTTGCCATTACATCCTTAGAGTTTTGGGTTCTCCTTAAATCTAGGAGGAGATTCGGAACAGTCCTTCATAATTCACGTCTGGTGATGTACTGCACTTGAAATTTATAGATTAGTTTGATAAAGGAAATGTCGGTATTGTTAAATGATTGTGTTGTATGGTATCACTAAACAATGATAAATATATAGAACCATTCCAGGCGATTTTTTTTTCATAAACAGCGATGAATTCTTAAATAGATAAATAGCGATAAATTCTTAAATAGATCTGCTCCCTAGATCACGAATTCACATCGGCTGTCCCAAAATAAAATCAATCAAGGTCAGTAAACATGGCGGATAATTTCAAGTTTTGGTGTTGACATACACGAAAAATAACCGATAAATGGATTTTTCTGTATATTTTTGGATCACTTAGTATCTTGCATAACTACAATTTTTGAGTTAAGGTAAGAAATTTTAATAAAATAGACATTTACTGATAATTTGAGCTGAAATCTGCGCTCACTTGCACCATAACTGAGATTCTAAGGGGTTGTAGCCCACTCAAAAAAAAAAAAAAAAAAAATGGAGAAAGCTGCATTATTACGGCTGATATTAAATGTCATCATTTCCCTGTATATTTAGCAGATAAACTAGATGCGTGGTAATGATGAGTAAAAATGCCTTTTCCAAAACTGTGAAATTGTGGTCCTAGTTCTGGTGTTTCGCTGTAGGGAGTAAGACGCTCTCTCTCTCCCCAATCTATCCTCTCTCTACCTCCCCTTTCTCCCCGCTCTCTTTTCGTCTCCCTAATCTCTCTCACCCTCTCCTTTCTCCCCACTGTCTTCTCCCTCTCTACCTTCCACACACTCTCACTCTCTACACCTTCCCACTTTCTCTCGCTGCCTTTCACCCTCCCCTTTCTCTTCATATATATATATATATATATATATATATATATATATATATATATATATATATATATATATACAACGCTTATCCTCTGTCTTTTGTCTTTAAACCATGTGAATCAGTGTTGATGCTGTTGTTTAAAAATGTGTTTTGAACTTTACGTCAGATGAAAGGTCAAATGTGTTCCTTATCGTATTTTATCCTTCAAAAACAAAAAACAAAAAAACCCCAAAAGTTATCAAAAATAGACAATACGAGTAAGTATGCGTTCTACTTAAATGCAACATCTGAGTATTAAAATCGAGTCTATAGTTTGGTAAACGAAAAGATTCAAAGTTTAAAAATATATCAAATTTCGAATATTATCTATTACTATGCAATCTTATTTGCAAATACAAATGGACATACTTTTCAATACTTGAACTGATCTAGCAAATAGTTTATTCATTTAAATGAGATATCCAAATTGTCCAAGAGCTAACAATTTGAGGTAATTTTCATTATTTGTTCAAAGGAAAATATAAATTTTCAAAAGCTGAGATTTATCGTTCAACACATTGTTTACGATAAATATGTGAAATTAAGTTTATGTCAGGAACTTTTTTCTGAAGAAAAAAAAATTCCAACCATTTACTACAATAAGAATTTTCCTACTTTAAAGAAAGCTTGTGTTTCCGTCAAAAATACGTAGTGATCCTTGTGTTTTAAAAAGTAGCCTCAGTCAATGGTATGGCACTTAAAATATCGAAGTTTCTCAAAGCTTCGTGTTCATTGTTTTGTTTCGTTTGCGAATGCCACTATTTTCGGTGTACCACAATTTTACTTCTTTCAAAGACTGGGGAAGCTCAGAACCACGTGTTTCAGGTACACATAAAATAAGTAATGTCACTGTGAAACACATCGCAGAAAATATTGTTCCTGGAGCCCAAGGTATTGCTTCAGCCTGAAATTGTAGGAAAAACATTAAAATACATGAGTTTTTTCTATTAACCTTAAGAAATCAGTTAAATTGTATATATAAAAAAGCTATTACCAACGTTCCAGCAAACGGCGATAATATCGCACCAATTCTTGAAAAGGCTGAAGAAAACCCAATGCCAACGTTCCTTGCAAAAGAAAAAAAAATCATAATTTTATTCTCTTTTGTAAATTAAGCTAAATTAAATGATTTTCAAAAAGTCTATTTATCACATCGTCTTTAATATATTTCCAATTGATAACAAAAAAAAGAAGGCTAATGTAAAAGCAATCAAACAAGCAAAAATCAAAACAAACAAACCCTCTCCAAACGAAAACCCCAAGAAGCAAAGAAACCAACGAAACAAATGAAACAAAACAGATCATCTTGAATAACCTACCTCAGATTTGTTGGATAGAGCTCGGGTGTATATAAGAAAAGAGTGCTAAAAGACCCTGTTATTGCCATTTTCCCAATGAATGTTGTTACCACTGATAACATCTGAAGTGCACTGTTACTGCCTGAAAATATCCAAAATGGTATTTCCTTTCTTTTCTGTAGTTGAGAAAAAGATACGGTATATCATAATTTATATAACTTCATTACGGCTATTTATTTTCATTTACGTATGCTAATGATATTCTTATGGTCCTGTCAAAAGCATTCGCAGAAGTTATTGAACCTTGCCGAATATACGGACTTTGAGTAACAAATCACTTTATTGCATTTTATTTCATTTATTGGGAATGTGTTAAGCTGGTACAGTCTTAAGACTCTATGAAAGGTTTATGGAAACTTAAATGTTGTGTAATTGTGTTATATTTATCACCAGGTCAACCTCAAAGTTTTCTCGCAAAGAATTATATATATATACATATACATATATATATATATATATATATATATATATATATATATATATATATATATATATATATATATCAGAATGACAAAAAGTACGAAAGCCAAGAAGGCTAATTTAAGATACGAAATTCGAGATTCATTATCTAAATTATCAATCAGAAGGCAGATTCAAGATTCGATTTCTTCCCTTTGCTAAAAAATTGATTGAAAACTAGAGAAAGCATCCCGTTTGGTAGGCAGGTATCACGTAAATTTTGAGTTTACTAGGTGGAGGTAAATGCAAAATTTGCAACATAACTTTTACCTTGTTGAAAATTTTGCATTTACCTCCATATAAATTCAAAACGCAACATGATACAAGTAAAAGTCTTGATTTGGATCGGCCTATATTAAAACATAATAGTAATTGCCCTCTATTTTTGTTAAACTTCAAGAACTAAACAAATTAAGAGGAAATTCCGCTGAGAGAGAGAGAGAGATTGAGATTTGTATAATTATGTGATTATGTGTTATATTATAGGTCCCTTAAAAAGGCGAATTAGGACTACAAAGGATTTTCAGTGTTATTTTGCAAAGTAACTGACCCCCCCCCCCCTCCTCCACCCACCTCCACACGGAAGAAATATGTCTTTTTGGGTATGTTATCACCTTCTACCATTTGAATATATTTTTGTCCCTTATTACTTTTTATATTTACATCAGAAAAAGTTTTAAATTAATTTTTTCAAGGTCCAATTAAGCATAAAGACAGACGATTTGTTGATATTTAATTGTGCATGGATGTCTTCACAAAACAGAAAATATACTATTCAGTAAACGTCATCAAGCGAATAGCGTGTTCAGCATACACCTTTTCTTCAGAACTGTTTGTTCAGTTTCTCCCATTGTCCTTTAACAATAACAGGTTAGAGACATAACTGTGCGGTTGATGAGGGTGTTGAAGCAGACACCCAAAAGATAACAGCCTCTGAGAAAACTTCGTTTGCTTCTAAACACTAAACTGTTATAAGAGAGGGATTCGTGAGTAAGTTTTAGAATGATTTCATGTTGGTGCATTCAAGAATACAAAACAAGAGGCCTAAAGGCCAAAACGAGAGTTACCTAACCTTCCTGAATATGAATACTTAGTAAATATTTACTAATTCATATTTAATTTAAATAAAACGTCTTGTATGGACGCCACAAACTTCGTAAAAATATTCCATAAATTTAAATAAGTTAATTAAGGCTTGACATTAATCTAACAGATTGAAGTCTTGGTATTCTTGGAGAAGTTCCTATATTCTGTGTAAAATTTTGCCACCCTATCGTGGACCCACCCTAGCCCAGGGGACCATGATTTGAAGAAACCTGAATCTCCTAGAAAGTTTGTAAATTAATATAAATTGTTGAAGCTCTTTTAAAGAAGAAAAAAGGTACATAAAGATCCATTACTATTTATTCCTACGTCTAACTGATTTTTTTTTTTTTATTGTTGCCCACTCTAAGCGGGGGTGGGGTGGGGATTTGAATAAACTTTTTAATCTTATCATAGTGTTTTTCCTTTCTTTTCAGTGATTCTTGGGATTTTTAAATGACACAACCTTATTGATGAGCTCTCCTTTGAAGAAAAACTTTCATTTCAACAAATATACGTTTACCCAAGAATGCTTTAGGCAACATCGTCCAGGTGGTAATGGAGGTCGAAAATACTAAAAGTTAACAAATATCAGACAGATGAACAGACATAGAGGGTTGATAGTATACTTTTATCGTGTTAACACTTAATTAATGCAATATCAATAAAAAACTGAAAATTCCACACAAAACGTTTTTATGAATTTCCATGTATTATATATACGAGGGTTGTCCCAGAAAAACGCGAACTTTTTGAATATTTCATAAACTATTCAACCAAAACTAATAATTTTTTGCACGTTATTGGAAAATGATATTTACGGTACTTTGACGGAATATTTTAGGTTAACGCTAGATGGTACAATGTACAGGTAGGCGAACACGAGTTATCGTTCATAGTACGAGTTATCGTTCATTATGTAGATCTATTCCTTCGTACGTGGAATATTCGACATGTGTTAAAATACATACATACGGAAATAAATGAAATATTCTTAATTAATATTAATATTCACAGGTAATTTACATTTACTTCACTGGCAATTTACAATTGGTAATTATATATTAAGTCGGACAGGTAAAAGTAGAAATACTAATCCATATAAACAATGTATCCATTTGAATTAATCATCAAATATGGATAAATTGATGACAAGCGTGGATTTATTCAAATTCAAAATAAAATTCGTTGAACTATATTATTACATATATTTTTTTTCAATATTCATTTGTATTTCGATTGATGCAATGTTTATGTGTATTAGGAATATAAAATCAGCAGGGGGGGGGGGTGTTATTATCCCCTGCAAACAGGCACGTATCGTTACAAATGAACATTTAAAAAAACATATGTCTAGAGGCTGCTTTAAGATCCCGCCCCCATTTTTACAGCCAATCCAACCCTGCTGACCTATGCTCGGCACTTAGGTCCATTGAGCAGTGAGGGATCTTTTTCGTGCCAGCACCTAGTGGGATACGGGACCTCGGTTTATAACGTCTCATCCGAAGGACCGGTCTCCACGTCCCGCAGTGGACCAATTCGAACCCGCGACGTAAGTATCAACTCCTTACTCCGCGACTCCAGAGAAGACGCTCTTACAACTGCCCCATGCAGGCGACGATTCCATAATTGAAAGATGGATTTTTTTTTTAAATCGACTCAAGTTGTAAGATAGAAATTACCGTAGTATTATTTTTCTTTATTTTAATAATATACTCATACCTAAACTACTACTGAGAAATATGCCTATATAAGTAAAGAAACATTTTCTATCTTCTTTTGATTTCAAAAGTTTTTTTATTTTATTTTACCTGAATGTCTTACTTAGCGCCAAGATTTTATTTTCACACAAAACTCACGGTTTACCGAGGTATATCCGAACGCAATACAGCAAGACATTTGTTAATCTATCAACTTATATTCCTCGTCATTTGCTACTCCCAACTTTTCTAGCTCATGTACATTTCACACTAGGTGATTTCGAGCTATTTTTTCCCTCGAAAGTACAAATATATATATTTCTAAACAATGCACCTAATTTCTCTACCTATTTTTGACAGGTATCAGATTAATGTTAGACATTTGTTTGTTTGTTTAACGCCCCTTCAAGATTGTTAACTTATATTGAGACACCAGCATTTACCGGTGGAGGGCTGCAAATTTAGACCTGAACTTGGCACTCAGGGCCTTTTTAGCAGTGAGGGATTTTTTTTCTTCTACCGCGACTCGGGACTTCTGTTTATATACCGTATCGTCCGAAGAACCAATCTCTACGTCCCGTGAAGTGAATGGAACTCGTGACGAAAGGATCAACTTCTTTCTCCACGACTCAAGACTTAGTCGCTCTAACCACTGCGCCACACGGGCGACAATTTAAACTGATGTTATAGATGTCATTATCCCCAAATCCCAAAATTATGTATCATCTGAGAGTACCTCATAAAATACGCTTAACCTACATCGCACAAACATAGGGATACTGTCTTGATCCCAGATGGTTTTTTCCAAGCTATCCGTACCTTTAACAGTTTAAACCAGCTAAAAACTAGCATAATATACACTATTCACCTATATATTTTGGACAGTCCATGATTAATTTAGATGGCAGATATATACTAGATTTCAGATAATTTCTCTTATCTACGCAGTTATGAAGCATCGTTTTTGAAAGGGGGGGCCAGAGAAAAAAAAAATTACTTACCTGAAAAAGTTGACGAGCAGATATAAAAAAAAGGAAAATTGCCCAAACTCGAAAAATCCTATTTCGTGGGGGGGGGGGGGGGTATAATTACAACATCTTACAGTACCAAATTTTATTGATACAATACTACATCATCCGTATTTGACCTTTACTGTAACAAAAAAGTGGGGGGGGGAGGAGGGCAACTGGCCTTTCAAAGAACATTTTCAATAGAAAGAAGTTATGTTTGGAAAAAAAAACCTGCCCCCCCCCCCGCGTTCCTACGTGCCTCCTACGTTAGTTTGTATATGTTTCAGCTAATATTCCTGCAAAAAAGGCTAATATTCTTAAAGACCTATGACAGTCAAATGGTTAATCAAACATAAAGACATTGCGCTTTCTCAAAATGTTTCTCCCATGCATCTACGTAGAATGTGCATGTCGAATTCATTTTAGCATATCCTGGAAAAATTACGATCTGAAATCCAAGATAAGTATACGCTTCTAATCAAAATACTTTTGCTTTTTACAAGACTAACATGAAAATATAGCCCTGATCGCAGATAATTGTAGCTTGTACCAGCTTAAAAAACTGTACAATATCCACCATTTCTCTACGTACTCTGGATGGAAACAATATTAATTTTATTTAAGAAAATAACCTTGATCCCAGACCTTTTTTGTCACCTACCTCTAGTTTCATCAAACTAATAGTCCAAGACAATACCCTACCTTCTATGGAGAGTCAAAAAAAATTTAACCTGAAGATATGTCCCTGATCTCAGAGCTTTCTCCCACCTACCTGTACTTTGTACCAGATAAAATCCCTGTTAAATATGCGCCACAATCCTACCTGCAAT